CCAGCTCCCCACTCTGTGCTCTGCTATGGCCAGAGTGCCGACCTCGCTGCTTTCAACGGTGTCTGCGGCCCTTCCCTGGACAGCCGGTCATGGTCTGGCTGCGTCCCTTTATTCCGGAGCCCCCCCCCAAAAAAAAGCATGGCATTGCCCCCACTTTGTTGTAGTGGTTCGTCAGGAAGGTCCCGGGTGGGTGGCACAGGGTCCCACGGCTGGTCCTGGGCAGCACCGGGGCCAGGTCATTGTGGTCCGATGGCTCTGGTCCTCCTCCCAAGTCTGGGATCAAGGAGGCACGTCCCTCAGCCTCCCCATGCCCTCGGGCCCTCTGCTGGGCTCACCGCTTCCTTGGCCCCTCTGTTTAAGCCTGGAGATGTTGTTTTAAGGGCCATTTCTTCTGCAAGCTTTTCCCGCCGGCCTTTCCAGAGTCTGCCCCGCAAGCATCTGTGGCTAAAATTAGGCCGGAGCCTTTGTTTGCAATCTCACGCTCTGCGGACCCTGCATGTGGTTCTGCGGAGCTGTCGGGGATGAAAGCCCGCAGCAGGGTCCTGCTTCCCGGGAAGGGTGTGAACGATGGGGAAATGTGTCCTCGAGCCCACCCACCAGTTCGCGGAGGCCAGACCACGAGTCAGTAGGGGCCTGTCCTCTGGAGTCCCTGGGCACGCGGCGAGGGGCAGAGCTCGGGGTTTCTCCCCTGCCCTCATCCCTCCTGCGTCCTCCTTTCTCCTCTGTCCTCCCTGGGCCGCCCTCACTTGTCCACCAGAAGCACTTGTAGCCCAGGGAGTGTTTCAGAAGGTGGACGAGTGAAGTGAAGCTTCCTCCTCCCTCTTCCTCCTTCCCTCCCTGGGTTGAATTCTGGGGCGTGAAGACACACTTTGCTCAGCAAACACCTTCTCCAGATGGGGTTCTTCCTCTCTGGGAGCGGGAGGCACGTGAACAGCTCAAGTCTGGGGTTAGCTCGGACATCCGGAGTGTGCCCACGGGCGGCCTGGCGGGAGAGGTCAGATGAGGGTGTCCCGTGTCCACGCCGTGGGGGCTGTGAGGCTCTCGCGGGCCCCAGTGCCTCCTCCAGGGGTCCTGGTTTGAAAACAGAGGAAAGTCTCCTTTCTGTGGCTGTAGCCCTAATTCCTTAAGAATTCGCTCCAGCGTTTTACTCGAAGCTGCCTCTGCTGTGTCTGGATGTGAGGCCCAGGCTGGCTTGGGGCTCGCTTCCGATCTGTTGAATGCGGCCCTGCGTGGAGAGAAGGAAAGCAGAGGCTGTCCTGAGGACGACCCGGCCCAGGCTCCCTGCTCCGCTCCCTGCACGTTGAACGGCTGCGGACATCAGGCCGACTGGTTTTCATTGCTCACTGAAGTCGGGATGCGACCTTGCCCCACCTCTTTGTGCGGCCCTGGGGGAGGGACAGCGACCCCGAGACAATGGCCCCTCTCACCCCTCCGGAAAGCTCTGCTCCGGGCCAGACAGGGAGCGTCTGGTGTCCTCGAGGCGCCGGCCATGCGTCAGGAGCCCCTTCCCCAGGTGTGGATTTGGGACAGCTTTGCTGGACCCGGTGGCCAGGTCCGGAGGCTGCAGGGATGAATTTGCTTGTGTGTCCCTGGCTGCTCCTTGTGCTCTGGGTGGGAGGGCACCGTCTTCCAGAACCTTCTGATCCTGTTCCCAGAGGAGCAGGACCTCCTCAGAATGCTTCTGGAAGGTCAAGTCACGCAGACCATCTGCTAAAAACCTTCTGGGTGCTTGTGGCCCTTAGTGGGGACCTGGCCATCACTGACAGGTGGGCTCAGTGGCAGGAAGGGTGTTCATGCTCCACAAACAGGTGACTCTGCATCAAAACATGGAGACAGGATGTTCAGCCTGCCGGGACCTGGGACGTGGGCAGTGAGAGGGTGTCCCAGGAGCAGAAGGGGCACACTCCCGGCATGAGGACCCACGTTCCCGGGAGCTTAACTCTGCTTCTGCAGCCACGGTGACCGCCATGGCTCTGGCCCAGGCTGTGGCGAGGGGGTGTCACCGGCCCCGGCAAAGAGCCTACTGACCCCAGGCTCGCCCTGACTCAGCCCTTCTGCATCCGGAATGGTCCTTCCCCGTGCCGTGACCCCAAGTGTGTCCGAACTTGCAGAGCATGTGTGAGCCTGGGCGGTGGGCTTCTTCCAAGCCTGAGGGAGACCAGATCCCTACCTGCTCCCCTGGGGACGTCTCCTGACTCTGGCAGGAGAGCAAAGCCAAACGTGGGTTCCCAGCCCACACGGGCCTTGTGGACGGGGGCAGGACTCCCCATTCCTGGGCCGCCATTCAAACGAGACTTTCAAACTGTGGTTAAAGCTGCCTTGCCTGGACCTGTCCCTGGTGGGGTCTTTCATGTGGACGTTCACGTGTGTTTGCTGTACGTGCCTGTCACCAGCACAGACTAGAGCGCACCGTGGGGAACTCTGGGACGTGCTTCCTGACAGACACATCTTCCCTAGCTGCCCCCAAATCAGGCTTTGTTCAATAAGGCCTAGAAGGAAACTCAAACCCAGGACTCTCTGGACCCGACTGACCCAGCACCAGCTCCCCTGGGAGGCCAGGCGCCCCTCGACCCCTGCAGCTCTGTCACGCACGTGGTAGGTGTCGGTCAAGCCCGCGTGTGCTCTGCAGTAGGGACGGAGCCCCGCCGGCTCGCCATCCACGCTGCTGGGGACCACGGTCCCTTCTCTCTGCCGCGGAGGGTACAGGGTGGGGTCTGCGAGACCACACCTTGAAGAGCCGGCTGCTAGGGTCCGGAGGTGCTCATGCCTTCAGTCAAGATGTGCGCCGTGGGGGGCAGAGGTGGCCATTCAGTGGGAGCACTGGGACAGAGTTCGCTGCTGGGTGGGCAGGGCCCGCGGTGGCTTTGTGTCCGTCACGCTATGGCTGTCAACCTCAGGGTCCGCAGAAAACCCCGGAAGTAGCCCTCTGGGCCAACCCTGGGGCCCTGGTCCTGGGACACCCCGTCCAGCAGCCTGCCTCAGAACCTACCCGGACTGAGAAGAAACCCAGGAATTTCATTGTCCACGTGACAGGTGGACAGCCTTGGGGACAGCGATCCTGTGAAATTCCAGGACAAAAACCTGGCACTCCAAGTGCCAAGAAGATGAGGTGTGGCCGTCCTGTCTGCTGCCCTCCGTGCGGTGCCGGTAATGAAGTACATCTTCCATGGCTCTTACAAAATAGCATTTTGGGTATTTTTTCTCCTTTCAAAAGAAAAATCCCTTCCGTAAGTAGGCGAGCGGAAAGGCCCGGCCTGCGAGTTTCTGCATGACTGGGCATGACGGGGTTGAAAGCGGAGACGGGCGGAGGCCGGGCCGCTGGGGCCTGATCTCTTCTTTCCCGCCGGGAACGGGGTGGCTCTGGGGGGTTCAGAGACTGAGCCCCAGGGCGGGCCCCTCTCCCAGCCCCCGGGCTGGTCACATGTTTATCCTTTGGGAGCCTGCCTGAAATGGCTAAATAAAGCAATTTTTTTAAAAAGTTTCTAGCAGATGCCTTTGGGAGAAGCAGCAAGAGTTTGGTGAATCGCGTCCCAGAGCGGCCACAATGGCCTCTGCCGCGAGCCCTCCCCCATTCACGGAAGCGCTTAAGCCACTTAGCGCATTAGCATCTGGATGGCGCAGGCCCTCCGCGGGCGCAGGGGTGGGCAGGGCGGGCGCCTCTGCCCCAGATTGTCCCTGTGCTTGTTCTAATCCTCGCTGCTTGAAGGCGGCCAGACTGATTTGTGACACATGAGTCCAAAAGCCACGTCGGGGCTTGACCCGCTTAGCTCCTCTGTGCTCTGAATGTCAATGGCCTGTTGTGGAGGACTCACTGGGGACGGGGACGGCGGCCGCTGCCTCCCCTGTCCCACGCCGAGCGGGGCCGACCCCAGCAAACCCGGCCTGTGGCCCAGCGGGTCCCTGCGGGGGGGGGGGTCTCCACTGCACCCAGGCCTGCCCGCCCGCCCTCCCTGGGGTCAGGGGCTCCTCACAACTTCACAAGGGCCCTGAGAGGAGGTTTTTGAAAAGTCAGTATTAGTTTTCTAGACTCACGCCGTCATCTTTACAGAAGAGCTCCGTCGAGGTGTGGTTCACACCAGCCTCAGTCCCCAGCGGCCTCTGCCTGCTCCTTCTCGACGTTTCGTGTGCGTCGACCCTGGTCCCGTGTGGCCTTTCCTTAAGGAAAGAGTTTTGTCAGCAACAGGGGTGAGGGGCCCCCTTCCTGCATCCATCCTCGCCAGTCCGGCCGCCGATCTGCCTTCTCCCGGCTTTGCTTTCGTCTGGGGGCCCCTTTGTGCTTCCTTCCCAGAGCCGGGAGCCGTCTTGCTACCCGGGGGCTCCGGGTCGCCCCACCTGTTGTCTCCTGCCCCAGCCTTTCCCGCCTCACACACTGTTCCGACTGGAAGAATTTTCTCAACAAACCTGGACTGAATTTAGTTTGTAGTCCTGCTCGCCATGAACTGGGCCGTGTGGACCACCCCGGCTGTGTGGCTCTGGGACTGTCCGGCTGTCCCTGTTCCCTCGTCCCTCTCCCTGCCTGTCCAGCTGTTTCCTCTCTCAGCTGGTTAAGGTTTCTACCCCTAGAACCCAGTGTGACCTCTGTTCTCCCTGGTGTGGCCTTCCCGGTCCTGTCCCACTACCCACCTTGGGCAGATCTCATGGCAGTGTGTCCCCCAGCCTGCCCCCGGGACAGCATGAGGCAGCTCTGACTTCCCCGCGCCTCCCCTGCACGGGGCTGTCGTCAGGGCTGCCCCAGCAGACCCTCCCGGGTGGGAGCTGAGCCAGCTGCAGGGCTGCTCGGGAAGCAGAGGTGGGCACGGAGGCCAGGGCCCAGCCGGTTGTGCAGCCCTTCCTGTCCTGGCCGGTGTGCCCGTCACGCTCCTGCTGCCGTGCGGGCGGGTCCGCCGTCCCTTTATGTGGAGGCGTCAGGGAGGGAGACCAGGAAGAGTGCAGGTCGCGTTCAGGAGACACAGGCTGTGGGCGCCTCTCCCGGGACTGAGGCTTGTCTGTGTCGTCCGCAGACTCTCTGCACGAAGGCCACAATGCAGACGGTGCGGGCCGCTGACACCAACGAGGTCGTGAAGCTGATATTCCGTGAGTCGGACAATGACCGGAAGGTAAGCGAACCCCGAGCTGTGGGCTGTGAGCGCAGCAGGCCACTGTGGCCATCCAGCGTCAGGGAGGGAAGGGACTCCACTTGAGGAGTGGCCTCTTCCACCCACGCTGACGGCCACGCTCACTTTGCAGGTGATGCTTCAGCTGGAAAAGAAACTCTTTGACTACTTCAACCAGGAGGTTTTCCACGACAACAACGGCACCGCGGTGAGCTCTGCCACCAGATGCCCGCAGGCGCCCGGGCCCCCCGGGCGACGCACCTGCAGCTGGGACAGCCCCCCCTCAGCCCTGTGTCTTGTCGGTGGGCAGCATGGGGGACCCTCCGTGTGGGAGGTGGGACCGTCAGGCCCCAGGTGCTCGGGGCGGCCGACACAGGCCTGGGTTCCATATGCACGTCTGACATGTGTGCACATGCGTGTGTTACTGTGTGCGTGCATGTGCACGTGCGCCAAGGGAACTGTGTGCTGGTTGTGACCTGGTCCCGTGGGAGCCGCTTCTCTGGAACCACTGCCAGGCCGGCCCTCAAGAATCTGGAGACGCAGCATGGGGCCGCCACGTTCGCCACGGATTTGGGCCTGTTTGGGTGTGTTTCTGGGGTGTCTAGTCATGCGGTAGCAGCGTACCGCTGGATGCACAGTTCACGTGCAATGTCCCTGCTGTGGCCAGTTCCAGGCTACGAGGGCACGGCTCCTGACCCCAGGGCCCAGACTGCAGGGTTCAGAGGCAGGTCCTAGATGGCACCTGCCGAAAACCGGAGGCTTCCCCGAGGGCGGGCACCCCGGTGGGTGGGGACGCCTGAGCGCGCCTGCCGCCCAGCCCCGCTCTGGGAGGCTCTCTTCACAGCCGTGCCCCCTTTCCATCTTCCAGTCACCCCACGCCCTACAGCTGGTCTCCGTGTCCCTGACACTCCTGTCACCCACCTCGAGGACACTTTATTCCACAGCCTGGACTTCATGCCCCGCCCCTGCCATCCCTGTGCTCGCCTCTTTGCCGCTGGGAGCCCCAGCTTGGTCTTGTCACCCCTGCCCTGAGGCCTCGGCTGTGCTGAGTGCTCTGCACCTGTGCCTCGGTTTCCAGTCCGTGTGTGGGAGGATCCCTCTGGTCCGAGGGCAGGGGGGCGCTGGCAGGTGTCCCACCAGGCAGCGGACTCTGTCAGTCCTGTGTCCCTCCTTCAAACCAATGCCAGGAACTGCTTTCCCGCCTCCATGCCCGTGTCCACTCCTTCCTCCACGGCCCTGTGTCCTCACCGAGTCGGTGTCTGCTACCCCGGGGCCACTGCATCTCCCTCGCCGCACGTGCCCCATTGGTGTACCCCAACTGGGGCCCGGCCTGGGGCTTGTCATGTGCACAGAGGGTCAGGCCTCCGCCCCGAGCCCTTAGCCACTTCCCACAGACCTCAGGCGGGCCCGGAGCCTGCTCTGGGCTCCTAGGCCTCGCTCACTGCTCGGCTCTCCTTGCCCACCCCTCACCCCTGGTCAGGGCACTGGGCTAACCCTGCCCCATCAGATGCTCTGACCTGCCTTACCTGCCTGTCCCACTGTCCTGTCCCAGTGGGCACTGCTCTTTGGCCCTGGCCAGTTCACATCTCACGTCCTCAGGACCTCAGACCCTGGCAAGGTGGACTCTCGGCCTGTGTCCCCAGCAGCGCCCAGTAGCGCCAGCTCAGCACGCGGGTGCCTACAGCCCCGCCCTCTTCCCTCGCAGGAGGCGCTGGCACAAGGACTTGTCCTACCTGCTGTCCACGCCAAGGAGTGCAGCGGCCTGGTGATTTCAGGGCCTGAGCACTCGGGGTCCAGGCGAGCCCGAGGGGCAGGTTTGGGGACAGGACTCTTCAGGGGGCACTGGCTGCAGGCAAAGTGCCCGGGAGACTGTCTCTGGGCAGCTGTGTGACTTTCTGAACTGGGAGGCAGGGTGGGCTCTCTGGGCCCCTGGTACAGAGGCAGGTCCCTGACGTGGGGGTGCAGTGAGGCCACCAGGACTATAACGAAGGGGGAGAGCAGTGCGCACGGCGGTGACACTGGGCAGCCGGGGCCTGGAACGTTCCAGAAGGAGCAGAACATGGGGGAGCCTGGCATGCTGTGGGGTCTGAGCCAGGGAGGTACAGGGCGGCCAGGGAGAAGTTGTACGTTCTGGAAATGGGGAGCCAGGGCACACGGACCCACAGTCACAGTCTTCGTCTCTCAGTGTCCGGACAAAGCGTGTGCTACCAGCATCAGAAATAACAAAGCTGTCGCCGCTGAACATGACGGTTCTTATTTCTGTGTTTATTTAGCATATGACGTTTTTAAGATGGAGGAAAATTAGTCGGAATGCTTGGGAGCTTCGTGCCGAGACGCAGAAACGCGGCACAGGGTTACAGAGTAGATTTCCACGTGCTGTCTGGAAAGACCCGTGAGCCCCTCTGCTGTGTGTCCGGAACCTCACGCGGCAGAGTTGCGCCCGGCCTGGCACCTTCCCGGGGGGTCTGTCGCGGCTTCTCAGCTCCTGCTGCCGCCGCTGCTGCGGGCGCTGCGGGTCCCAGGCGCTCGGTGCCTTCAGGGACGCCTCACAGGGTCATGCTGACGCGCGCTCCGCGTCCCTGGCCGCGACCTCACACGTTGAGAAGCTGCCTCTGCGTCCGTCACACACAGGAAGCGGGGTCGTCCGCAGCAGCCACGGGGACAAGATAAATGGTGTGACGAGCCATGTCACCTCGGTGGTGAGACACGCAGCCCCACGGCCACCGGAACAAAGTGCCCATCCGCAGGATGGATGTGTCCGCGCCAGACGCAGCCCCAAAATCCATCGCACCCTTCATCAAGCCCCGGTCTTGTACCCGCCTGACAGAAATTTAATTCAAGCTGGCTTCTGGAAATAATTATTGTATTTTAAGAGTAGTAATCATTGGCCGGGACATGATTGAATGTGTCCATGCCTATTGACTTTTTCTATGATTTATAGCTTTGTTTAGTCGATATTCCCATCGAAATTGTATAATTAATTATAAGTGTGGCTGTCAGGGCGGCAGGATGGAGTGCCCTGGTGAGGATTTGGAGAGATTAAATTTTCCTTGGCTGTCCCAGGGCAGGGCTCGGGAATCTTCACAGCGCTTGGCCTGCTGGATAGAGATGTTTTCTGTGTGTTTAGCAACTGCTCTAGCTCAAGGCACATTGATTTTCTGGGCTGCTTTTTCTTTATCAGCGTGGTGTCTCTGCGGTAACAGTGGAATTTGTGCAGCTGGGACAGCTCCTGACAGATACATATGGCCAGCCCGCCGCTTTATCATTGTCCACACACGCCGGGCGCTGTTTTTCACTTTGTAATCAAGAAGAATGTTTAAGATACATGGGAAATTGGTTATCATGTTTCTGAAAAATCTCAAAGAGAAACAAATTATCGTTTCAAGAGAAATGCAACATAATTTCTAATCAGGAACCTCTTTCACAGCTGGCGTTGGCCCCAGGGGCCGCACCCCCCATACCCCCACAGTTCTCACGGAACTCAGGGTTCCGTCCCCTTGCACACTGGCCGCCGGGCCTGGGACCCGATGGGCCAACTCAGGGGGGCGGGGTGTGTGCACGTGTTTCCAGGCCGTGCCACCTGAGGAGTGTCTCTCTGTTTCCGGGCAGGGGCTTGGGGCCGTGGGAATGCGGGCTGGGGTGTGGGTGTGCAGCCGGACAAGCCCAGGAGGAGGGCCCTTACTGACAGAGACCTACCCCGGACGCCTGGGTCCTCACCAAAGTGGCTCTGTTACTGTTTTAGCAGCTGGAACGTTCGCACCCATTCCAAAGCAGATATTTACTGGCTTTAATTTTCCTTTACACCCTTTGCAAGTAGAAGCATGGTGGGGTCCAGATGGCCCCTCCCCAGGTGCTGCTGCTGCTCAGGGCCAGGCTGGCTGGTCAGACAGGCTGTCCTTGTCTCACTGGCAGAGCAGTCCCTCCCACTCTCAGCCGCACCGACGGCTCCCGCCAGAGTCTCCAGCTTCTCTTGTGGCTGCGAGGCCGCGCTCGCTGGAGCCTGTGTAGCCACGGTCGTGCAGGTTCCTCACGACCCCAGCCAGCGGCTTCTGTGATGAGCAGCTCCGGACCGCACCAAGCCTCACCTGTATTCCAAAACCACGTCATGCGGATGCCACCCATGTGGACGCCCTGTGGCAGGATCTGGCCGTGAGGTAGCACAGGGCCCAGGGAGGCTAACAGGGTCCCTTTCTGAAGCTGCATAGGACACAGGAATGTCAGTAGGTGAGCAGTGAAAGCCTCGTGCTCACACGGTGTGCTCATAAGCCCCCAGGTGCACACACACAGCCAATGTCCGTGTGCAGTCACATCCCCCTCCAGCCCCTCTCAGTCTCCCCGGGGCTGATTGTGGGGACCCGGGAACCCCCCACGTTGCTCCTTGAGTCAGATACATAGTGGAGTGAAGGTGGACAGCATCCTCGTGGTCAGAAATGTATCCACACAAGAGAGCACACGTGTGCATGTGGGTGAACGACCCCCGTGGCAGTGAGGACGGTGGGCCCCTGTCCTCATGCAGAGCAGCAGAGCGCTTGGCCCGCAGCTGGGAGGCAGTGGTGTCTCCTTTAGGGACCGTGGTGTCGTGGGTGGCAGCAGGTGGCATCTCGCTGTGAGGACGGAAGAACCCCTTTCCGAGGAGGGATCCGGGCCCAGGCGGTGTCTCGTTTCCCGAAAGGACTTTATAAACCATGTTTGGGTTTCTGTCAGAGTTCTGGGCTGCTCACTGGGTGCTGCTCGGAGCCAGGCCCCCTTCTGGGTGCCAGATGGACACCGATGCCCAGTGGGGCTCCTAGGCTGTTGGGGACAGGAGAGAGTCCAATGCAAGTGAGTCTGGAGGCCGAGCCCCACAGGAGCGGCGCGCGAGGTGCAGGGACCATCCTCTCCAGCCCAGGGTCTGGGAGGCACGCTGCAGCCGCCGTGGAATTGGGGCCTGGGAGAAACCCCAGGTTATCCCCGGTTTCCTTCCAGGTGTAAGGAAGAGAGTTAAGTCCTAGCACCTCACAGCATATGGGGTTACGTTCTGAGGATTTGTACTTGAGTGCCTGGCCCCTTGCCTGCATTTCTCGTACCCAGAGGCAGTCAGATGGAGGGCACACAGCACGTTCCGTGTCCCCAAAGTGGAGGTCCCGGGAGGCAGGCCTGCAGTCCAGAGCCAACAGAGAGGGTACGCCCTTGAGAACGCTGAGCGAGCGATAGAATAATTGGTAGGAAACATAAAGCAAGTATGTTTCCAAGGATTAAAAACACGGAAGAATCAGAAGCAAACAACATGCCCGGAAAGAAACAAGCAGATCGGAAGCAGCGGAACCTCCAGAAATGTTGCTGCGCAGGTGAAATCCTGGTGGGTGAATTAGTGGCGGGCCCACCGTGGGCGCCCAGTGTGCCGGGGGCGGCACCTAGAGCAGGAGGCAGGGTTGGGGTGGCACATAGTGCCTCGCTGGGAGAGGCCACATTTGGCAAGCTGATGTTGGAACCACGGGAGACAAGTCCTCAGGACCAGGATGTGTCCACGTGGGACAGCAGGACACCAGATGAAAAGAGAGGACATGACCCAGAGCAGCGGAGGCCCGTGACAAGTCACCGTGCCAGTGGGACGCTGGCGCCAGGCAGCAACACAGTGACCCTAGGGAAAAGCCATGAGGATGTGTGGCCAGCCGTGCTGCGCCGACACCCGCCCCCCCCACCCAGAGCAGTCCAGGGACCTCTCAGGTGGGCGGCCACAGTGGTGTGTGGAAGGGGCAGGCACGTGCACATGCAGGCCCCCGGGACGCCACCGGTCCGCGGTGTGGCCGCCATGGGACAGCGAGGGCCTTGCGGCATCTTGGTCTCTGCAGTGCTGCGTTTGTTTGAGCGTCCAAGCTGGATTTGGGAGAGACGGGAGGTGCGCTTACTGCTGCGAGTGAAGCCCGGTTTTGTGATCCTGCCGGAGGAAGCCGCCCTCACCTTTTCCGCTAAGCCGCTGGTCACCATGGCCACACTTTTCCTCCCGATGCTCGCAGGGCTCCTTCCCGGAAGCCCTGGCCCCTGAGCTTGGGCAGGTGGGTTCCTCCTCTCAGCCCTTGTTGGTCACAGCCACACAGTGCAGCAGCCCCACCGTCCACAATGCCCAGTCGGAGCCTGTCTCCCATCTGGGAAGGCTGAGAATTCGAGCCCCGGGTGATCTGGATAAGAAACACGTAATCGGCATGTGTGCGCGTCAGTGCACGTTCACACATACGTGTAAATGTACACGTAGCTGCGGGACCTGCTCTGGTCCCCAAACACACTCGGGTGCATCTCTCCTCCTAAAGATCTCCTCTCCACCCCCAGCCCCAGCTGAAGGCCTGACTCAGGAACTTGCCAGGAGCAGTTTGGCCTGGAGCCCTCCCGGGACTCTGGAGGAGCTAGAGGCTCCCCTGGGGGCAACAAGGCCATTTGGTGCCATGAAAGCCAAGCCCCTGTGCGCCCCCCTGTGCCTCCCCTCCCCCTGCAGGCCCTCCTCCCCATGTGTCCCCTACCCGCCCTACATCCCCCGGGGTCCCCCAGTCCCGTGCCCATCGGGGCGGCACTGAGCAGCTGCACACCAGTGGATGTGAGCTCACGAGTGCCGCAGTGGGGTCCAGGCCCCCAACCCCTGGCATCTGAGCTCCACCAGGCAGGTCTAAGGCTCTTTGTAATTCGTGTCTGTGAGTGTCCAGGATTGTGCAGGAACGTGTGTGAGGTCCCATCTGGTGTGTACGCAAGAGAATTCATTTACCCTCCCAACCCACAGACCGTCCTGTTGCACACTCGATATGTGTTCCCTCTGAGCCACGCCAGGGGAGCAGTGGGGTTCCGGGATGGGGTGTGCTGTGTGCGGGTGGTCTGCATGGCAGCCGGGCACACAGGTCACTCCCACGTGCACTGAGCTGCTGACGCTTCACACCGGGCTTACTGCTGGAGTCCTGGAGGCCGTTTTTAGTCATACTGCCCTGCGACGTTGACCTTGGAGGTCAGTGCCTTCGTGGGAAGGTGCTGCTGTGTCTGCTGCCCCTTGTGGTTTTGGCAGAGGACAGTGGCCCTGCATGGCCAGTCAGCCATGGGCAGTGGGGCTGGAGTACCCGTGTGGCCTCCCAGGCAGAAGGGCGTGCTGGCTGCTCATGGACCTCCCCAGGGACACGAATGGGCAGGTGTTGGCAAGGCTGCCCACAGGTGGCCCAGTCGGTGTGCCGGGCGTGTTTGCTGGAAGTTCTGGGGGTCTCTGCTGCACGTAGACCACCAGAGACTTTCCGTGTCCCCAGTGAGTGGACCAAAGTGACCTTGTTTTCTTCTCTTTCTTTCTTTAGCTCTTAGAATTTGACAAAGAGCTGTCTGTTTTTAAAGACAGACTGTATGAACTGGACATCTCGTTCCCTCCCAGGTAAGGAACGCCCACTTGCTAGATGAGCAGGTAACTTTTCTCCTTTCGGGGGACCTGTGTGCCCCTGTGCAAACCACGCCTCCTCCCACCCTTCCCACCACCCAAGAGCAATAAGCGATTCTTTTAAAGAAAATTTTTTTTTCGTTAAATATGCAAAGTACTGCCTTCTCGGATTAGCACTGGGGCCCCGAGAACTCTGGGCCCTGGGTCTCTCTGGGAACATCAGGATCTTGGGCAGTCTCTGTGTCGGGCGTGGGCTCTGGGTGGCTTTTCTCAGGTGTGGAAGCTTTTCTGGGCTTTCCTCTGCTGTTTACAGAATCTTGAGATGTGCAGCAGTGACAGCCCGTTCCCTCAGAGCAGCCTGGTGGACACAGCCCCACCGGCGCCCAGGGTCTTAGAGGGCCTGGGGCAGAGAGGAGCAGGCAGAGGGGGCCTTGGGAGCTGCGGCTGGACTGGGGGCTCAGCCAGCCTCCGTCACTGGGGCGGCCGTGCCAGGGAGGGCACCTCAAGGACATGGAGGCCCTATCATGGGATTCGTCCCCACTTCTCTCTCCTTTTTTAGATCCTGGGTGGAAATTCTCATCACTCTGGCATGTTCTGGGAAACTGTAACACAGGCATGGGAGTGTCCTGGGGACACGTGGCACCCTGTCATCAGACAGAATAGCTCTGCTCCTAGAACAGGCTCAAAAACCAGACAGTCTTTCATGCATGCTCCGTGAGGGGCCCCCCATCCCTGCACCACATTCAGCAGTCACACGTGTGAAGGCTGGCAGAGGACCCTCCAGTCCAGCACACGGGACTTCCAGCTGCTCGTGGGAATGGGCTGGTGCCCCTCTGACCTCAGGGTCCAGGCTCTGGCCAAGGGGGCTGCGGCGTGAGTTGTAGGGGGAAGACTGGTAGGGACGGTGAGTCTGGGACAGCCAGGAACACAGCAGGACCAGAGGCGCATCCCCAGTGGTTCCCATCCATGGACTGACCAAGGGTGTCCCTCTCGGAGCCCCAACCCTGCTTCACAGGTCATCACCTGCAGTCAGATGCACGTCAGGTCCGCCTGAGGTCCAAAGAGGTTCTGAGGGTTTGTGAGCCTGCCTCTCCCTGGGTGTGGTAGGCCGGATGTCCTGAATGGCAGCCCCTGTTGGAGAAACTCGAGGATCTCCTTTTTGGGCTTTGCTGAGCTGGAGAGGACGGAGGCCTGGGGACCCTCTTGGGCAGAGGCTACGACCCTGTGGACACATGGACCCTGCACTGGCGTCTGCTTCTTGAGTTTCTCTTAAACCTTGCCGCCTTGCATGTCACTTGGGCACAGACTACGGAAGATGCCAGTAGGACGTGTTCAAGGCCAGAGCCCACGGGACCTGGTGGCCAGTGCCCCAGGGCGTGCGAGCAGCAAGCCCGCCACCAACACGGACAGCAGAGAGATTCGCCTACCTATACCCGAACCCGTCAAGAGTCTGGAAGGACAAGTCAGCCCTCACCCACGTCGGGTAATGGGGTCCTGGCTTGGGGGTCCCTGGACTGATGTTACCTGGTGAAGAAAGCACAGGCCTCCCTGGGGTGGTGGCGGTGACTTAGCCACAGCCATGAAACCCTGCCTACTTGTTGGGTCCTCTGCGCCCCCAGACAAGAGAACGTGGTGACCTGGTGCCATGGGGGAGGCGCTCGAGAAAGCTGCCTGTGTGTGTTGGGCATCAGGGTACCTCCGACCGTGTTCCCCAGGACTCCTTAGGTGGGCTGTATGCACAGGGGGGTCACCCTGCCCTCCTCGAGGTCCGTGAGGTGCCAGACACAGCTGCTGCGCACAAATCTCCGCGGGGATCGCTTGGCTCAGGCGGTGGGAAAATGGCCCAGACCTGTGCCTGCCCCGTCCTGTGTGCCGTGGCCACAGAGACCCGTGACAGGGCTCTGACCTGGGCTGTGCAGGTTGCGTCGGCGAGACCCAGAAGTCCTGGGAGCCTGTAGGAGCAGAGTACTCACCCTGGCTGGGGACAGGAGTGGTGACAGGAGGGGACGCCGAGGTCTTACCAGTCCTGGTTTCACAGGTGCAAAAACTGGCTGGTTAAGTCATCAAATACTTTCTCTTTAATGAGGAAGTAAGAGTGTAATTCCTCGGAGGAAAGGTGGAAGCTTTCTAACCAAACCAGCATCGCTCGACCACCAGAGCCCAGCTTCCAGAGACCCTAGTGAGCTGCCGGGTCACCACGCCTCCCCCGCCGCCAAGGCCACCAACCCTCCCCCTCCAAGCCTGCCATCCCAGTCACCCACCCCTCCCCTGCTGTTCGGGTCACACCCTCCCCCACTGCCTGGATCACACCAGGCCCCCTCCTTTGACTGTCTTGTCTTTGGAAACAAGGCCTGTGACCAGAGCCCCAGGGGTGGTCATGTGGGGTTTGGAGAGCCGCCCCAGACTGTGGGAGTTTACACAGCGGCAAAGTCCAGGAAAAGGACAAGTGATGAGGGCTGATCAGGGGCTTGGTACCTGCTGGATATTTGCTGATGGTACCGTGAGATAAGTGGTCAGGCCTGCTGTGTGTGCACATGTGGGTGTGCACGTGTGTGTGCATAGCGGTGTGTGAGCTCACGTGCAGATGTGTATGCGTGTGTGGGCATGTACGCATGTACACAGGGATGTATATCCCCCTGTGCACTGTGTAGCCCCATGGGCCGGTGAGCATGTAGGTGTGAGTCACATGCATGTATGTGCATGTGTATGCAGAGCGTATGTGCGTGGGTTGCACGTGTGTATAGAGTCTGCGCATGCCTGGCTGTCTGCATGGGTTTGGGTGTATGTCCACGGGGCGTGTGGACGTGTTCATACAGACTCGGTGCACGCATGGCTGCGTGTGTGCACTTCTGGGTATTGGGTGTGTGCGTGCATCATAGTGTGGGTACGGGTTGTGTGTGTGTGTATGCATGGGTGCGAGTGAGGCACACGTGTGCATGCCCATGTGTGTGTGTGCGTGTGCACAAGTGTGCACGCGGGAGTGTGTCCACATGGAGTCTGCGCATCTGGCGTGCATGCGTGTGGGGGGTGTGCACCCAGGCATGCATGTGCAGGCGTGTACTTGGACATGTGTTGCCTGGGTGTGTGCACGGGTGTGTGTGTGTTGCCGGGGTGTGTGAACAGCCCAGAAGACCTCACCCCACACATCTCCATTTTGAGAGAACGTCTTTTCACTTTGGGGGCTGCTCTGCGTCAGCCGTCCATCAAGGCACCCTGTGTGTTCTCCGTGGCCCCGGTGGCACTCGAGTGTGTGTTGGGACAGACTTCTGCTCCCTTCTCGCTGCCAGGCTCCCGGGACTTTTTGGAAGGGGGCTGAGCCCGTGGGGCCGTGGCTGCCTCAGGCTGCCCTGCGTCTGGTCTCGGTGAGGCCTCAGAAACCGGGACCGCGGGGCTCGTCATCCGAGGGCATCCACCTGGTCCGGGGAGCACGGTGGGAACGCGGGCCCGGGGCGGCCGCTCCTGGTTTTCAGAGCCTTTCTGCCCTCTGTCCACGTGGTGAGGGCCTCGCACACAGATGGCACAGGCTGGGCCTCCCTGAAGGCCCCTCCCATAGCACCGCGCAGAGCGGGACAGTCCCCTGGGGCGGCGTGCCAAGACCAGAGCCGGCCCAGGCAGTGGGTTTCGGTGTGTGTCAGCACAGCGCACCTGTGAGCCCACAGACATTCGTCAGTAGATGGGCTTTGTTGGGAGAGAGAACTTCACAGAGACATCGGTCACCGTTCCCCACCAGCTAACAGAACCTCACTCCCAACGGACTAGAGCTTAATGCCATAATTTGCTAGAAAAGGTGCTAATACTTCAGATGTTAATGGAGCTGTCAGCTCTCTTCTTCTCCACTGAGGGCTCAGCGTGATGGCACCTTCATGAGAGTGACCGCCCAGGGCTGGCGGTCAGGAAGCAGAGTGCCACCGGCCTGGCTGGAATGGGCCCAACCGGAGGGCCCAGCCCTGCGCTCCATGGTGGCACTGTCCCCACTAGCAGGCCAGGGACAGCACCCACCCCCAGATGCCGGTCTGTGATGCCAGATGGTGTGTCCCTGGGCCCCCAGCGGCTCACCATGAGCACGAGCTGCTACGTGTCTGTGACCCGCTCGTTTCTGGCTGCTGGAAGGGGTCTTTTGCCCACATGCACACTGGCCACATCACCAGCCGGGCCTTAGAACGCCAGATGGTACACATGTTCCAGACGTTGGCACGTGCCGGACGACGCATCCCTTGGGGCCACTGAGCAGAGCACCGTTGACCGTGGCTCGTAGGGACCCGGGGCCCAGGCACGTCCTCCAAAGCTCTGAGTTTTCCTTGAAGGCTTGAATTTTGTCATTGACAACAAATACACTTGGATATCTACCTGGAGAGGGAAAATGACTCATTTCATCACTTCTTGAGAAAACTCCCCTCTGATGCTCGTCTGAGTGACAACGGTCTCTGCTTTTCTAGCAAAAACAAAGATACTCCACAGAAATGAGCTGGAACGACCACCAGCAGAGCGCGGTGTGTGTCCCTCTCATCCCTCCACACCTCGGAATGGCGTGCCTCCCAGGCTGGGCAGTCTGTGCAGTGGCCATGGGTTTCTTAGTGTGATGCCCACCAAGGTCCTCCGTGCCGCAGGCCACTGCTTCTGTCCCGCCCGCGCAACTGCAGCGCCGGGAGGGCGGCACACGGTGTGTCAGGGGGATTGTACCTTCCAGCCCTGCCTGGAAGGGAGCCAGGGACCCCGGGGCTCCGCATGGCACACTCCAAGGCCGCCAGAACCTGGAAGGAGCCAGAACGTGCACGATGGCGGGATGGGTTCTCGCTGTTGGAGGAGAGCGTCACACAATGGTGGGCACCACAGACTGCGTCCTGCGAGCAGATCTGAAGTCACACTGTGCCTGAGGGGAGCCACGCGTGGGTGCCGCCCGCCCTCCCGCATTCGTGGGACCAGTTGGCGGCTCTGGGGTCACGATCCTTGACTTTCCAGGCAGTGGCAGAAGGGTTGGCAGGGTCCGTAGGTGTTGTGCGGTGAGTACGTGGGCCCTGCCCCTGCGCGACACTGTGCGAAGTCGATTGCAAGCAGAGGAAAACGGGAAAGGCCTGGATCTGCTCCTCAAAGCTCTCGCAGGAATTTGCTTATTTAGGGACAGCTGGACGGGGACAGTCAGTCACATGTTCCCAAAGGCAGACAACATCCACGGCGGGAAGGAGACCTTTTTACCGAGCAAACGGATTACACAATAGGACGAAGTCGTAGCTTTTGAAAAGGATGAAAGTTAAACGTGCTGCGGGGCCTGCGGGGGGCCGGCTGTCCCCATGGGGCATTCGGTTTTCCGTTAAGGGTTAAAGGCTCTTTTCAACTTTGTTCTGGGCCGTTACCTCAACTCCAGCCGCCCGTGGTTCCTGTCTGCCGTGATGTGTCGGGTTGTGACGTTAGGACGAGAAGGGGGCACAGTCTGCTGACTGCCAGGCCTGGGGTTGGGAAGGAGCCAGGACGTCTGTCTGTCCCGCTGGCCGCGGGGTCCTGGTTGCACGTGGCCCGCACCGGGGCGTGGGTGGGCCTCAGAGGGTGGGCACGGCGGAGGTGAGCTGCTCGGGAAAGCCCGCCGCGGGGCGCAGGGCCGTGCCCAGGGCCGGGGTGGTCCTTGCCGCCGACCCCTCCCCCGGGCGGCTCAGTGCTGCCGCGGCGCTGCTCATTTGGCCCAACCGTCCTTCGGGCTCCTCCCCTGTCTTTTCCAGGAATGTCAGTAACGGGCGGCGTCTGGGGACGCCGGGGTCCCGAGTGTTCTTGCTCTGACAGGCCCTGTCAACAGCGCCGCGCCCGGGGTCTGCGGACACATGCAGGCGCTGCCCTCCGGCGGGGCTCCAAGGAGCGGCTTCCGTCCCGGGGCAGCCCCTGCCCTGCCACCCGCGCTGGGGAGAGCAGGTGCACAGTGCCGGTCAGGCTGGTGGTTCACCTCCGGTTTCCTCCTGCGCCGGCGGCCCCACCCGCGGCCGGCCCTGTTGACGCAGGCTGGCACACACAGCCGGGCTTTGTGCCTCCCAGGCTGTGGTGTCGAGGGCCGCGTGCTTGAGGACAGGTGGGCGATCGTTACTTTATCACCGGCGGTTACGGCAGCTCTCCCCCACCGTGGGAGCGTGGGCTGGGTGCTCGTCCCGGGTCCCCAGCCTGCCAGGGTCTGCTTTCAGGTAAGCGTGCGGGCACGGCGGGCGTCCGTCACTGTACGATCGGGAGGGGTGCGGACTGCAGACCCGCAGTGTTGGGCCCGGTGCCCTGTGCTTGCCGATGGGGCCCACGCGTCTGCTGTGGGAGGAAGGACAGGGTGCCGCCCGGCCCCCTCCTCCGGCCCTGGGGCTATGGGGGGAGGGTAGTGTACCCACCAGCAGGACATCTCGGGACCGGCCGCTTTCTCCTTCCGAGTCAGCTGTGTTCACACTGGCCTGTGGCAGTGGGTCCTGCCGGCACGATGGGCTGGGGCCCGCCGAGGGGTCTCCTGTCATCTCCGCAGCATCAGGGGCATAGCTGAGCGTTGCAGGTGGCATCTGAGCACGTGGCCTTCGTCCCGTTTCCGGGCTGCACCTGAGCCTGGACGACTGGCTATCGCCTGGCAGAGGGCCCCCACCCAGCAGCTGCCCACCCATGGCCGCCCTCACCCCTGACCTCTGCCCCCAGCCAGGGCTCTCGTCCCATGACTCAGCACGTTGTCTGGAAACTGGGGTTGATCCGTGTGGACGCTCACAGGCAGCACGTTCCGGAAACAGTCTGCCGCCCGCCTGGGCACGTTTCCCAGGCAAGGTTGCGCGTGCAAGGCCAGCAGTCCCGGCGGGCCGGTGTCACTCCCTCACGGTCACAGCTGGGCTGGGCGGCCCCACTTTCCCTGCAGAGGACCTCTCTGTCCACGCAGGATGCCGTTAGATGGGGGGCTGGGTCGGTTTTGTTTTTAAGCATTTATGCTGCTTTGAGTCTTTAATCGAGTGAAGCGGTGACTCCTGAGAGGTGGGGACCCTCGGCCCCTGTTTCTGGTGAACCTGGGGGACCCCCGGTGGGACGGGGCGAGGCCGGGAGCCATTTGCTCCGGACAGCGTCATGTTCTACAGAGCCTGATAGTTGCCGCAGGATGTGGGCCTTGAGGCCCCAGAGCAGCGATCGGGCCAGGGTCCCCACAGACCAGGTGCCGCCGCCGCCCGTCTCTCCCCAGCAGCGAGCGACGGGGAAGCGAAGCGGAGAACAAGCTTATTATAATAATGTAATTATAATTCTACTATATAATCTGGAATGGACCTAGAAGCAGATTTTTACAAGGAGTAGTTGAGACCCTAGGATGGCTCCGCGAGACGCAGCCCGGACACACAGACACGTCGCCGCGCTGGCGTGGACGCAGCAGCCACCGCGACACGCCTGCCCTGCCGGCTCGCTCTGAGGTCCACAGCCACCACTTCAGTCAGTGCCAGCGCGTGCACTTGGGGCGAGGCCAGCGGTTCTCAGGGACTGAGGAGGCCCGCCGGCCCACAGGGTGGTCCCAGGGCGTTCTGGAAATAGGAGGAAGCTGCCCGGAGGGGGCCTGCTGGCGGCACCCCACACACTTCTTGCCCACACTTGTGTCACTTGCCTATTGGGGGGTTAGCTGTGGTGACTCTTCCCCAGGCGACCGTCAGGGCCTCTCCCAGGGGCTAAGCCGTGTTGGGGGGTGGGAAGGGGCACCTGGGTGGCCAGAGCAGCGAGTCCGGGACAGTCCCAGGCCATGCCACAGCGATGAACCCATGGCCCGGGCACCAGGCACTTGCCAAGACCAGATGCTATGGTGGGGCAGGCTTGGGTCGGGGCGTGGGGAGGGGGCGCGGGGAGAAGGCGTGCACCTGCGTCAGACCCCCACTTCCAGAGGCTCCCCTGGAGCCATGAGGGGACATCTGGGTGAGAGTCGCACAGCGGCACCCCTGCATTCTCGGGCCACGCGCTTGGCCACCCCCAGGACACAGGTGGGGAAGGAGGCCCGTCTGTCCGCTGACCACGTCCAAAACTAAAACCACAATGTCCTAGATGATGCCACTGGTTTGTCCCAAGATCCACTGCAGCTAAAATTCAAGTGAGAACTTGGATCGCGGGTTTGACTCTGCATTCTGGAAACTTACCTACATGGTTTCCTTGCCTCCATGGCGCTGGCCACTCTGCGTGCGTGGGAAGAGCCACACGGCCCTCCCCGGGGCCTCTGGGGACAGTGGGAGGTGGGGCCGCAGCCGGACGCTGACCAGGCGCCCTTGTGTCCCCCCAGCTACCCGTACAGCGAGGAGTCCGGCCAGGGCCAGCGGTACATGAACACCCGATGCCCCGCGTGGTGCGACCGCGTCCTCATGTCCCCGTCTGCCAGGGAGCTGATTCTGAAGGTAAGGGCCACAGTCGCCCCGGAACCAGCCACCGACGAGGTGGGCCCTCGGACGGGCCCAGATGTCGTCCTGCAATGGGTCCTCGGCCACTTGAGACCCAGCACCCGGGCCCGAGGGCCCCCAGGACACCTGCTGCCTTTCTGAACCCACAACATGCATTCGCAGTCACCAGCTAGTGCTTCCAGAATTGTTACGGTTTACTGGGTCCTCGGGAATCAAATGTGCTCTTGTCCACAAACGCGCTGACGTAAAGCGCGTGAACACACGGGTCCTTACTTCCCCGAGTTGTGAATCAAGAGCCTAATTCACATCTGGGCTCAAGGTGGTAAAAACAAACGGGGATGTTCACCCTGCACTGGGGCTTGGGTCGCCAGGTCTCCTGTGGCCTGCTCATTTCCCAGAATTCCAGTGCCCATACAGAAGGAGTGTGTCGGAAGAATCAGTGTCTGACTTGGTTTGGTCAACGAGAAACCCTGTGCAGGTGCATCGATCGATCCAGGGGGCGGGGTCACAGGCTGGTGCTCAGTGTTCAGAGAAGACGTCGGCATTTGGGGGACCCTAACTGACCTGAGCTTTGTCTGTTTTAGGTTCCAGTCCCCACCCCCCACCAGGACCCCTTGGCTGGCCTTGGGCCACACTCTGAGTCCTCAGCCAGGGATTCAGAGCACAGTGGGCAGGAGGGGCCACAGCCAGGAGGGCAGAGCCCCCCACATGCCGCCCCAGCTCCTAGCCCTGCCGCGCACACACCCTTTGCCCCGTACTCAGTGGGCACCTGCCGGCCTCTCCAGCGAGGGCCCAGCCATCCGTGTTCTTTCCTGAGCCCAGAGCACTGTGGGCACATGGGGAGGGGCCAGCGGGGGGCCTGGGCTGGAGATGGAGCCTTCGCTGGGTCTGCACAAGCTCACTCGTCAGTGCTCCTGCCCCTGCACTATGTGTAGGGCCTGCTCCCGCCTGGGACACCCTCACACCCAGGGCCCACTGCTGGGGCAGCCCCTGGGGCCACTTCCCCATGGGGCTCCCCGGCTGACGCTACACTGGGCGTGGACCACGCGTGCGCAGACCCTGGGAGCCTGCCTGGCACCCGGCCTTGGACATAGCCCTGCCCTCTCTGCTGGGCCCGCTCGCTGGCGCTCTGGCGACGGCCGTGTGTGGTCCCACGGTGGCTCAGCCTCGCACGCCTGCCGGCCTGAGCACATGTGGTGTGCTGGGTGCACAGCCACAGCCAGAATGGGGCCCCCAGGGGCAGAGAAGAGACAAGCACCATGTGCAGGGGAGGCACCCGCGCCCAAGGAAACGGCATTTTGCAGGAAAGTCTTGGGTGCAGGTGGCCGAGTTGAACACGTGCAGTGTCTGGCGCAGCCCAGGGGTGGGGGTGGTTCCCCGGGGACCGTCTCAGGCTCATTCACGTCTTGGAGCTTCAGACGCGGTGGGGCCAGAGCGGGAGGTGAGGGCCTCCCCTCCCCCTGCCCCTGCCCATGGCCCCCAGGCCCTCCCCGGGGGCCGCGGGCGGAGCCGGGCCTCATCCATCATGGCACGCTCCGCTACCTCGTCATCATGTCCCGTTCTGCTTCCCCGGCCCTAAAACAGCCGCGGTGGCGGGCGGCTGTCGTTTGTTTATGTCTCAAGATTATGCAGCTGGAAATCCACAATTTTATGCTGCCGCTGTAAATTACCGTGCTGCGTTTGATGAATGCCCCCACTTCCGCGAGGCAGCCTTGCGGTCGTGAGCGATGGGAAGTGCTCGCGCAGGCGGTGCCGAAGCTTGTTTTCATACTTTCTGGCAGGCGACCGCGCTGGAAAGTGAATCTGACCTTAAGCTTCCTACTGCATTAAAGATAATTCAGTTTTAACTTCATAGTCTCGAGCTCCAGCTGCGGATGGAACCATCCGGCCCGGTCGGAGCTGACTGACGGCCATGGGGGACCCTTCACAGTCGCACCCGAAAAGCCGGCGTCTGTGCGGAGCCCGGGACAGAGCCTCCGGGAGGGAGGGGCCGGTGCGCGGGCCGGTGCGCGGGGCCGGTACTTAACGTGCACCGTGCTCGGTGCAGAGGCGTCTGCTCTCAGCACAGTTCTGGGCTGATGGAACCGGCTGTCAAAACAAGCATGAACAGGGCTACTGTGGCTGTGCGCCACTCGACTGTGCGGGGCGCGCCCGGGAAGAAGGCTCACGGCTGCTCTCGTCGCCCGAGTACAGGCCCTCTACCAGGGGCACGTGCCAGAGGACAGCTTGGGGGGCCCCCGCCTGACTCCTGTCTGGAAGCAGGAAAAGCCAGGGCCTCCCAGGACTTCCAGAACTTTGTGCCTGCTGGCTGGGGGCTCCCTCTGAGATGCTGGCCGGAGACCTGCTGGCAGGTGGCAGGGGTGGGTGGCGGGTCGCTCGGGCTCCCTGAGGAAGCCCCGCCATCCCCACCTTCCCACGCGGGTCTCTCTGTTTGCTTTTCCAGTCGGAGAGCGAGGAGAAGGTTGTCACCTACGACCACATCGGGCCCAACGTCTGCATGGGAGACCACAAGGTGACGTGTTCATGCTGCGTATGGCTGGAAGGTGGGGGGCGCGGGCCAGACTGGGGCTCCTCCTAAGGCCACACAGCACTTGCCGAGTTGGTCTGGGTTTACTGAATTGCAGTAAAATACCGCGAGGTAGGCAGGTCGGTAAAGAAGGCGGAAAAGACTGGTCACAGTAGAATAAAATACAGAATTTTACTATTTGTAACAAAATACCGCCTACAGCCGGTGATTTCCGAAGATCGTTTTTCCAGTGTGCACGTGGGACCCTGTGACGGCCTCACGGCAGCGAGCACGGGTGCTGCCCTTCGGGGTGGACACCGAGTGTTCGTGTGGGGATGTGCTTGGTCCACAGGGCGCCCCGCAGCCTCACAGAGGCCAATGCCCGCCCGTCTTACCTCCAGGCAAATGGGAGACGTCCGCACTATCCCATGGGCAGGGCCTCCAGGCAATGACCCCTGGGCACCTCCCCCGGCACGGGCACCCAGTGGGAGCGCACCGGGCCGGCACTCTGTCCTTCCCCGGTGCGGGGTTTGCGCAGTCGTCTGCGTGAGCGCCCGCCCGGAAGTCCTGCCCTTCCTGGAAGTCGAGCACAGCTCCAGTCGGAGGGTGCCGGCGTCCCGCACACAAGGCCGGCGGGGAGGGCAGGATCTGGAGTCGGGGGGTCAGGGCCGGCGTGTGGCCGTGAGGTCTGACTCCTGTCTTCTCCTGCCGCAGCCCGTGTTCCTGGCCTTCCGCATCGCGCCCGGGGCAGGTAAACCTCACGCCCATGTGCACAAGTGTTGTGTCGTGCAGTGACGTGTGGTAAATATGACTCCTTCCCTTGGCTTCACCTTTTCTCAGCTTTTCCTGGTGTGTTTGTTCCTTTAACGAGTGACCCATTCCACAGCAGGGAAGCGATGCCAGCGACACCAGAGGGCCCTTCGCGAGACCCCCCTGTAGCGCGAAGAGCCGTGGAAGTCCCGTCCATTGAAACCCGTCCTCCTGACAGCTGCGCCGGCAAACCCGCCCGCGCACCACCCGCTAGACGGCCGGCCCCACACTTCGCTTCAGCCTCCGGACTGTTCCGGAACAGCCTCACATACCTCACTGTCTTGTCGTTCATGTGACATTAAGTAGAAACATTGGGTTTTTGTAACAAGTCACCGTCCTGTTGCCAAACTCCATAGACCGGAGAGGGAGTCTGAGAGTTCAGAGTTTCCATTTCTAATCACTGTCAGCGTGGGAAGAGCTTCTCTGGCGTGGGAACCCCACAGGTGTCCCACGTCCCCTCTGCCAGCCGGAGGAGTGCCTGGGGCTGAGGTGACAGGCACGGGCTCTCTGCGGCTCAGGCAGTGTGGCCACTGTGGGGAGAGCAGGGCCTGGTCTTCGCCTCTGGCGGCCCCCTTCCGTGTTATTTACTGCCGTGTTACATGGTTTTAGAATCACACTGCAGCTGCTTTCCATTTTTATATATATAAATATATATAAATATATACTTTTTAAAAATAATTTATAAATCTTACCAAAACTTATGCTAAATATACTTTCCAGGATGAATGCTTGCGAGGGTCCTGTCGGCAGGTGGGGTGGAGGCTAGGAGTTCAGGGACGTGCACGTCCGCACAGACCCATCGGGCCAGGTGCCCGCGCGGTGCCATCCCGGGGGCCGTGGACCACAGCACGTCTCCACTTGCAGACCTTACTCCTATGCCTTTTCTTCTGTGTAATATTAAGAACCGAATGTGAAGTTTATAGCTAGCTCGGGTGTACCTTTGAAGAATTTTGTAAACTGTTTCGTCTTTTGTTACTGTTCTATGGTGCCAAGTGTTCTACATAAAACAATAATATCATGGGAGAAACAAAATAGGCTAGTCTGCTTCCGATAGAAACCGCTTTTAACACAGGCTGTCTGTAGATCTCTTAAGAGAAGCAAAACCGTGAGTTTCCGTGGCCGCCGCGGCCAGCCTCCGGGACACCCCGCTGCGACCCTGTTCCCCCAGCACGAAGCACAGCATTACGAGCTCATGCGGAGCCTGCGGGTGGGACACAGCGTGTGTTTTATTGATCTGCTTTAGAACACTACACGACTCCTGGACTGGGGGGAGGCCTTAGATGCTCATTTTCGGGTAGATCACTACCGTTGCAAGCGATGGGGCATCCGCTTGCCGAATCCGTTCTGGCCGGTGCGGCCGGCTGGGGGCCGTGGCCGCTCTGCTCTGTCCACGCGCCCCACGGCAGGCCCACCCCACAGCTTCTGTGTAACGGGGTGTCAGCTGTTGGTCACTGTGGAGGCCTGTAGAAATGACCGCTCCGGTTCCTAAGCAATAAAATTGATCATGGTGAAAACAGTTCTGTGTCTTTGTTTCTCTGCCTTCCCCGTCCCATCTCCTTTGAAATGCTAAGTAACGGGAGGGCCCTCCTTTGTGGGCTGTGACTTTAGGTCGGGCTCACCAGAAATCCCGGAAGGTCCTGCTATCAGATGTGCTACACAAAACCAAGCCAGTAGTTAAGTGCAGAAAAATAATCTTTTGGATTTTTCAGTGTAGCAGTAACTAATGGGAATTGCCCCTCAGCATTTAAAGATGAGATTATAAAAATGCACTGCCTTCCGCAAAACTCTAAAACTGGAAATTCCTTTGCTCTTAACTTGAGCTGAGAGAATGCTTCACTGACAAAATACACTTCAGTATTGCTCCATTAAAAAGACCAGCCGGTGGCTCAAAAGAAATCTTTTTTTAAACTGAGGTGCGGCCACGTGGCATAGAACAGAAAACGTCAGGCTTTTCCGTTTGTAACATTTTCGACACTGCCTCCAAGGAGAAACCTTCTAGTAATGTAATCACTTCTTTTTAATTTTTAAAATTAGAGCTCGAGAGTTGGGCACAGTCGGTGCAACCACGCAGAGCACGAGCTCCACAGAGCCCCAGAGTGTGGAGAAGAGCTACTGGCCCATCCCTGCCGCGGGTGCGGGGCTGCCGAGGGCCTCCGGGTGGGAGGGAGAGGGAGTGCGCGCTGTCCTCCGAGGGCGGCCGGATTACTGGGGATTTCTCTCTGGCGTCCCGGTCTGAGTCAAACAGCAATTTCTGCAGATCAAAGACTATGGAACCGGGCTGCGGAGGAGCCTAAAATCTGCGAGCTTCGCGCTTAGCCCGCACTTGGAAACCTTTAGCTGCCAAGGCGTTTTAAGGTCTGCGTAATCAAATCCAACACCTCCGCGCGGGTCGCGGCGCCCAGCGGCGGCAGCCTAGGACCCGCCCCTCGCCCGCCCCGGGATTTCCGAAAAGAGAGTCGCGCGGGTGGGTGCTCACCTGCTGCGGACCTCCGCCACTGAGCTGGTCCCGCAGCCCGGGGGAGGGCGCAGGTAGGGGCGCAGGTGGGAGAGGGCGCCGCACCTGTCGCCGCGCGCGCACCTGCCGGCGCCGCGCCCCTGGCCCGCTGCGCTTCCGTCCGCGGCCATCGGCTCCGCTGGGCGCTCGCTGGCCTCAAGGCTCCTCCCGCGCTCCGGGGGCGGCCGAGGGGGTCTCCGAGCCGGGATCGCCCTTCCCCGCGCTGGGCCCTCGCTGTCCCCACGCTCCTGCGAGCTGCCGCTGCCCATGCCTGCAGACACGCGGGCCGGGGTCGCACCGCGCGTCTCGCCGCTAGCCCGGCTCCGCGGGGACTTAGGCTGGAGCAGGGGTAGGCAGGGACCCGCGGGGGAGGTGGGAACGGGGTTTTCGAGAAGGAAGACACACGCGGTGCAGCCTCGAGCCGCGGCTCCGCCGGGGACGTGTTAAATAATTTATTGATTATACAAAGTGATTCCGCCCGGGACGCGCGGCCCCGCGCCCTCCCGAGCCCGCGCCGGCCGCTTTATAACTTATTCTGTAAAAATATATATACACACGGGCGGGCGGCGGCGAGGGGCGCCGCCCACCCCGACCCTGGTTGCTCCGGCTGCCCCGTGCTCACAAGGCGTCCCCCGCGCCGCCGCCGCACGGGCTGACCAGCGCCAAGTTCGCGGGTTTGTGCTTCTTGAGCAGCCGCGTGATCTTCTCGTCGTCCGAGTTGGGGTCCAGGGGCCGGTTGTACTCGTCGTCGTCCTCCGCGTCCGAGCCGCCCACCTTCAGCTTCTCGGCGTCCGAGTCCTGCTTCTTCTTGGCCGACGCCATCTCCGCCGCGTGCCGCTTGCGCCACTTGGTCCGCCGGTTCTGGAACCACACCTGCGGCGGAGGGGGACGTCAGACGGCACCGCGGCCGCCCCCAACGCGAGACCCCGCCGCCCGCTGGACTTGCAGGGGCCGCGGAGGCCAGCACCCCGGCCGGGCCGCGGAGCAGCAGCGCCCCCGGGGCTGGGCCCGGGCAGGGCTGGCGGCCGAGCGCACACGGTTCGCTGGACGCGGGCGCCGAGGCGACTTGGCGCAGCGGGGCCCGCGGGAGGCCGCCCCGCACCAGCCGCTCACCTTGACCTGGCTCTCGGTCATGCCCAGGGAGTAGGCGAGGCGCGCGCGCTCCGGGCCCGCCAGGTACTTGGTCTGCTCGAAGGTCTTCTCCAGCGCAAAGATCTGCTGGCCCGAGAAGGTCGGCCGTGAGTGCTTCTTCTTGCCGTCCTTGTCCAGGACCCCGCCGCCCTGGGCTGCAGAGGAGGGCGGGTGAGCTCGGCCGGCCGCGCCGCGCCCCGCACCCCAGGCCCCGAGCCGCTCCCCGCACGCGCCACCTACCCGGGCCGGCCAGGCGCGGGTCCCTCCAGGGCGAGCCCTGCACCACGCCGGGCCAGAAGATGGGCGGGCGCCCGGGCAGCTCTGCCAGCGGCTTGGGATAGCCGCGCGCCACGGCCGCGGGCCCGAAGTAGACGCCGGCCGACGAGGCGAGCCCGTTGAGACGGGGCAGGCCGCCCAGGAGGCCGCCGCCCGCCGCGCCCACCGGCCGCCCCAGGATGTCGCTGATGCCGTGAGGGGTGCCGAGAGGCAGCTGCGCGCCCAGGCCGCCCAGCGCGGGCGCCTTGAAGCCGGCCGGGCCCTGCAGCGCGTACGGGAACAGCGACGTCTTCATCTCGGCCATGTTGTGCAGCGCGGCCAGCGGCGCGCTGCTCAGCACGAACGCGCCCGGCCGGTTAGCGTCCATGGGCGCCGCCGCCTCCGGCCCGGGCGCCCATCCGGGCCCCGCCGCCGCCGCCGCCGCCCGCGCCCGCCGGCCCAGGAAGTTTGCGCGCGGCCCGGGGCGCCGGCTGCAGCGGGGCGCTCGGGGCGCGGGCGCCGACGGCCCGGGGAGGCGCGAGG